ACACACACACACACACACACACACACACACACACACACACACACACACACACACACACACACACACACACACACACACACATACAGACGTACGGACATTATCGTAAAAATAGTCAGGGAAGCTTCCTGTGACCTTCAAACGTCGAGATCTGATGAAAACTCGATTTTTGTAAAACGGGGTGAAAACAATAACTTCCCGATTTTTGAAAATCTGAGATTTTTAGCGGGAAGTTAAAAAGTCGGATTTTATAACTATAAAGATATCAAGCATTGCATGCATGATTGATTGTATAATTAATTGCTTGAACCTTGAAATAAATTTAAATTAAATGGTTATTTTTAAAACATTCGCATACTTAATTCATTTTGAAATATTAAAATTGGTTAATTATATTTATGTTAAAGGAAATACTTAAATAAAACAGAGAAAAATTGGTGTCGAAGTAAAATGAACTCTTTGCAATATAAATTGAAATTAAATTTTTTATCTCGCATACAAAAGCTGCTAATGAATTTTTAATCAGTATAATCTTTAATATACATAATTAATATATGAATAAATTATTTTCTTGCTAAAAGAGGTGAGTAAGACACTGATTTATCAATGTAAAATTTATTAAACCATAAAAAAAAATTCGAAAGTTGATTTTTGTCTATAAAATTGATCATAGCAATTTTAGGTTACCTGAATTACGCAATAATCATTATTTAATATCGTCTTTAAAATTTTTTCTCTCCAACATAATTTTGAATAAAGCTGCATAATGAAGACGAAATAATAATAATGACAATTAATTAATAAAACATGTGCAGTGAAGTAATTGGAAAATGAAATAAAAAAATATTTTATTAAATAAAAAATGTAAAATAATGCGATAATAGATCCCACTGACTAGGTATTTCAAGCGTAAACAAAAGGATTGATAACATTTATTATAGAAGAAGTGTGCGTGTGTGTGTGAATATACTCGATTCGATGGACGAGTTAATCGAATTTTGATGAGATGAAAATACTCATTCTGGCTCGTCGGGTAACACCGTAATTTGATATTGTTTTGCCGGTGATAATAATGCGACCACCCACTGTAATATATAATATATAATATACAATATCCAATATAGAATATGTAATAATATACAGCAGAAATAATGATTATAAGAGAGACCATAGGTTAAAAGTTTGGTAAACTGTCGGTGATTAATTACGTGTACTGTCATGTCACAACAATAGATTGATGAAAGTTGAAGTATCCGGATATTTTAAAAAAGATGGTATAAAACTGGGCCAGGTGTTGGAGATTAATTTTATCTCAGCCATTATTAAATATTAATTATCAAATTGTTTTATTCCCGCGTGATATATTGATAACTCATTAGCTCATATTAGTATGAGTATTAGCAGATAATTTGAAAAAGATTTAATATGCATGTGTGTGTGTGTGTGTGTGTGTGTCGATACATTCACAAAGGATAACGAATGAACCAGACTGCGATTAATATAAATTGCGTTAAGAGATTGCAACCTCGTCCGCGAACTTGAACTCCCGTACAAACACATTCACTCAACTGTGCGAAATCCGGTTTGTGGTTTATGAATGTGCATTATCGTTGCGATCAATTAACAAGAAAGTACTAATTTTTTATCGATCTTTTAGAGAAATTTTACTTTTTTTTTTTAATCTGTATTTTTAAATCAGTTCTCGTAAGGAAAAATTCAGAGCCAAAAAATGAGATCAGAGATTAAAAATCTGAAAATATAAATACAATGAGGAAGTGAAGCTAATTATATAAATATAAAAATATATATAATGGACTGATGAAAGTATTAACCGATTTTCGACAGTCGAAAGAAAAGTCCTAGAAAGCCAGATAATCAAAACAGCAGAAAATAATATTAATAATGCAGCCTTTGTTCGGAGAATAAAAATTTTAAATCTACTCCCGCTTTGCAGCGAATCTCTGTTGTGCTATGATAATAATTTCACTCATAAGTTGGTTTAATTCCGATTGAAATGATTCATATCAATATTACATACGAACTAAATCCAGTTTATATTCATATTGAATTCGCAGTAAATGCCAAAAAGAATATAAAAGCGAGTATCAGAGAAGAAAAAGGCAAAACACATAAAAGGACATATCCATTGTTCTAAATTCAGGCATATTTATATCCGAGTTTTCGAATCATCGCTTCATTTTTTTTGTTAAATAATCTACTATTGTTTCACTCATCATCTCTTTGCAGTTTGCAGTACCTCACGGCAGTCTATCGATCGTTATTATTATTTTTTTTATTTATTTTACATTCACCGATAGGATTTAAAGTTGACGATTATATTTCTACGCATTCATACTTTATTCCTTCTACCTCTTCACCAGGTTTTTGATACTCGGTGTATTTCCAACAAAGCATTATACTTTTTTTACTAACGACCTATTTAATACCTAAGCTTCCATTATTTTATTCCGTTTACATTATATCATGGAAAACTGCAAACAATTATATTGCAATGTAACGAGAGCAAGTTTGCATTATTAATAATTAATTTTGCCGTGTCATGGGTAATGACAGACATTACAGATATGGAAATGATGGATATTAATTCACAAAGCAAAATAATTAATTTGATATCTCTAAACGGCAAACATTATGCGCTGTGGTTTATAATATGGCAATATTATAAAATTAAATCGAGTTAAATATAAAGTTTTAGACTCGAAGCGTACAGACAAATAAACTTCCCAAGATGCAATCAAAGTTCAATGAACAAGAAGTTCAATTATGCAAGTTCATAGTTCATTACTATACTAACATTAAGCGCGAGCGCGGACTAACCATTAGATTAGTTGATAGTCTAATCCATTTCCTAAAACTGATAACTATTATTTAATACGTGTGTTAATCTCTAGGAATATATATTTTTATTTCAAAAATTCGCCAATTCCTCGAGTGTAAATGCGAGCTTCAACTGCAATCTTTATAAAGTTTTATTAAACATTAGACGCTTAGACACTCAAATGCGCTTGAAATAAGTTCCTTAAACAAATATAATAAAAAGTACCGAGTGTCATTTTAAAAAAATTAAAAACTTTATCGAGTTATGTAATTTTTAAGATTTTATAGTAAAAATTTATGTAATATAATGTAAAAAAAAAACTTTTTGAATTAAATTTGAGTTTAAAAATGCTTGAATGAACCAAGGCTGAGTAGTTAATAATTAAAATTCGTAAAGTTTGGTGATAAAATATTTATTCAATGTTTTTTAAATATAACTACAAGTAAAATATAAAATTTTTATTGACGGAATAAAATAGAATAGTGAAATATGAAAGGACTATTTACAAAGAAGGACAAACATGACTCATGACCTAACCAGTCCTGAGTTTCCGTAGTATTTGTAATGCCAAAGGTTAAACATTTGTGATGATATATATAGATAGATAGAATAGACATATAGATGTACGACGTATACTTGTATGATATAAACAAACACTTCTAACTAGTCCCAGTGGGCAAACTGCGACGGAAGACCACAGAGGCCCTTGAGTCAGGAATATTCGGGGTGAAAATGTGTAGGTGAGATTACATATGATATGAAACGAGAGACCGGGCACAGCTCAACGACATTTTGAGCATAACGTAGCGTAATGTATATGTGTACATAATACATATCTATAGCGAAAAGTAAAGATGAACGTGAGTAGAGGCTCGAGGCGCATTAAAGGCTAAAGCAGCTTCCAGCTTCTACACACGAATACATAACAGCTGACATCCGTATGTGTAAAATATAAGCAGAACTATACAGTGTAGACCTTGCATGCAAGAGCACGAGGGATTGCATAATGTCGCCTTCGTTAACGCTTTAACGGGCAGAGTGTTAGACTATGTGTTCTCTGAAATTTATGACACTTTTCGAATGTCCAACAGTTCACTGCTAGTTTTCCCTCTTTTTTACCCTCCGCTCTTCCGGTCTTTCACAGAAATGGTTTTACCTTGATTAAAAGAAAAACCTAATTTCAAACTCCTCGGATAAAGTTTTGTCGCAGAAGGTTTTGCCGTTATTTCAAAAAGTTACAAGAAAACTGTAATTATTTTTAGATATTACTCTGAGAAAATAATCCATTCAACTTTTTTAAAACAATTGATTTAAACAACTATTAAAATTCATTATGATCTGCTTTTTTGCTATCAATAATTTCAAAAGTTTGGTACGCGCAATACAATTAACCTGGTTTCCAAACCAATTATTTCTGCAGGGATCAGAGCCAGAGTAATTACTTTTGAAAAGTATATCCGTGTTAAATGTAATTATAGTCCTGTTTTTTTTTATGTTTTTGTTTTTAATTATATTTAATTTGTGTTCCAGTGTACACATCAACAGTAACACAGTTTGAGGAGCCTCCGAAAAAGAGACCTGTAAATGAAATCACTGTTGAAACTCTCTCAGCAGTTGATGAACCAGCAGCCGAGCAGCCTTTAATCTGGCGAAATATTATCGGAATTTTTTTACTTCATGCATTTGCTGTTTACTCATTGGCAACTAGATACCACGAAGCAAAATGGCAGACATGGATATTCAGTAAATAATCTTATTCAACTTTAATACATTTATGTTAAAATAAGCAACGTTGCCCTTATACTCATCAATATCATACACTAGTTTAACTGGAAAAAATTAAAGAACTTTACGGAAAAATTTTTTTAATTTCAGTTGATAAATAATTTATTAACAGAGCAAATATTTGTTATGACTTAATAAATCATTTATTAACCATAATTTCGCATCTTTATTATAAGAGATTATTATATAGACTTCAAAAAAATTTTTAAATGTTTTTAATTAAAAAACGTTTATTAAAAGTTAAAAAACAATAAATTATATTTAATAAATAAATAAATTATTTCGAAATAAATGAATTTATTAACAGTTAATAAATTATTCTATCAGTGTAAAATTTTTCTGTTTGTTAAATTTTCTCCAGTAGTGTGAACACACGATACAATGGAAGAAAATAAAATTAAGCATTGAATATATCAATCCAAACTAACTCTCTTTCCGACTTATTTCCCTCACAACCCGAGACAGTTGAGTCCACGTGACTAAAGTCCTGCATAGAGGGCAGAACGAGAAACGCATTCGTAAAATACATCATTCCCTGGAGGAACGTGAGGAATACATTTTAAGAAAATGAGGCTGCCAACTCGTATCACTCCCTCTCTTTCTCATCTACACTTATTTTTATCTCTCTCGATCCCACAAATTTTCCTCATCTGAGTCTCTCTCTCAAGCTATCTCCACACAGTGGCTTCCAATACTCTCGTCAACATGTACGTGTACAGCATACGCAAAATCTTGACACATATACATGTATACATACATCTCATATATTTTAAGATGCACCATCGCAGCGCTCTTTATATTTATACTTCAACTATCTATTTTTCTTTCCAGCCATTTCCGCATTTCCATCTTCATCTAGATCTTGGCGAATATCTTTTTTACAGAGCTTGAAATGGAGCCCAGAAATCGCTCTTGAATATCCCATCACTTTTATAGTATAATATGCTGCTGAAATAAGATACTTTTTAAGAATAAGAAATATATATATACTACTTATATACTAATAAAAGTCTGGCTCCACGTCCGAAATTATACGACAATGTTTTATTAGATCACACAAATCGTGTTACAGGTGCTATAAAGGCGTGAAAAAAGTTCGTTTTTAAGGAAATTTTATTTGTCAATATTATTCTTTTAAATCTTAATTACATCAAATTCAAAAAATTCAAATTGAAACAAATAGTTTTTTTAATTATTTAAATCATATATATGTCAATTAAAAAAAAAAAAAAAAAAACTCTTATGGAGTTTGTGGCGCGATATATACCGTTTATTCGCCGATAAATAACTGCAGTGTCGCATCGTTTAATAATCCATGCAACAAATGAATAAAATATCCAACCTAAAAAAAACTTTTTGCAAATTTACATCAGAATACCTCTGCTTTACGTCATTGTTGCGTTAATAATGCAAACTGTCGATATTATTAAGAAATAAGATGCAGAGCTTCACCGGAAATTCAAAGCCGGGCTCGTATGAATATTTTATTGTCGCTTCTTTTATCTATGTACCGAGGTTACAATGATCGATACGATAACTAGAGGGAGCGTCGATATAAAATAAGTGGGCCAATGACAGGTCAAGCACTGTCGTTATATTACGTTAGGTTGTGGATAGCTGATTGTAAGTACTCAAACGTTGAACGTGATCGAATAGCTGGAAAATCTCCGAGAACGTCTCGAATTTTTCTAATGATTCTTAACTGCCCAATTGACCTCCATGTCTTTAAATTTTTCGGCAAAATTAGTTCAAGTTTTCGGCATTTAGATTTGTTGGTGGAAAAAATTGAAGCTTGTTTTAATTGATAAAAAGTATGATTTATGTATATGAAATGGTTTTCAGGTCCTCTATGGGGAGTAGCTGCAGGCGTGGGAATCACTGGAGGAGCACATCGGCTCTGGGCACACAGAAGTTACTCGGCAAAAGTACCTCTCAGAATATTGCTGGCATATCTTTACTGCATGGCTGGGCAAGTGAGTACTTTAACAATTATCATAATTAACTAACAACCTTAAAAAGTTATTTTAATTTATATATTTATAACTTTTGAGAATGGTGTAAAGTTTAGTCATGTGAGGAGGTCATTTGAACTTGGGTACTTATGACACTGTTATCAATTTGATATATGGGGAAAGGACTAGGTGGTCATGCTTAGATACTTTACATACAGTTTACAATTTTACAAAATTCAAAGAAGTACAATATTTACTCTCATAAAAATTACTAAAGTTAGTAATTTTTTCATGATGATTCTGTCAATATTCTTGGATAAAATAAAATAATTCAAAAATTAATCTTTTCAACAAGAAAAGAACAAATAATTCAAAATTTATAAAATAGATTCTAGAAGAAATATAAGAATTTTTCAAGAACTATCCAAGCGCCATTTCAAAGGTATTGATTGAAAAAAAATTCAATATTAAAAGAATAAGTTCCATTTGACTTTTTCAATCGTGTGGTCCCGAGAATAGTGAAATTATATATATATATATATATATATATATATATAACACATTATATCCATCGAATACAGCCTCTTTTAGCCAGTCACAGTCACATCTCTATCTCCTTATATTTTTAAACGTCGAAAGTTTCAAACTTCAAGCAGATCTCGATGCCACTTGCTCCAGTTACATACTTTTGTTCTCTTATATATTCCCATATTATCTCCATCTAGCCTCTTCATTTTTTTTGTCCTTTTTATTCATTTTAAATTTTACTTTTTTCTCAAACTTTTATTATATTTCACCGTCTTAAAACTTATATACTGTAATCAAGAAGATAATCCGGTGTTTAACGAAATCCAATAATGATTTTATAGAGAGTGGATTTGAATGTGATGCTTCAATTGGTTTGCTAAGCACTATTTTCATCCTCTTACATTTTATATTTTTCTTTTCCTATTTTCCTTATACTTATTTTACTTCTGCCACTACTTCTTCTTATTCTTATTTTCCTTTTGCTCCAGAGTCTCTAGTCTCGAGTCTGCGGTTGGATTATCCGCTCTGGGATTTGCACGACGACCTATCTCACTTTACGTGCACCACCCACTTCACTTTTCCACCCACTTCCCCAGCTTTTCCATCTCCTCTTTATCTGTCGCTACTTTTCTCCTTTTTCATCTTTTCATACGTGAAAAATTATTTAAGTAATACTTGGTCGTTTTTGAGTTATCAAAATTCTATAACTTCAAAGCTTTTTCTTCTCTCAAACCATAAATCTTTCAAAATAATTACTTTAATAGTAATTATTTTTACATTAAAAACATGCTTGACATACATTCACGTACAAAGTTTGTCCCAAGCATGTCGATGGATGTGTGGAACCTCAAACTAATCGAGCAATTTCATCCTACTTTAGTAACCTGATCTCCCTTGTGGCTTCTAAAGGCTTCCTGCTAAATATCGATATTCGATCAGTCACGAGACTAATTTATACTCGCTAGTATCGCTAGTTATTCAAGAAACTTTATAGCATCCATCGGCTTAGTTATATTTTTTTAAAAATCAATAATCCTTCTATTTAATTTTAAAATTAACTCACGGTGTGTTTTTGATTATACAATCTTTTATTCATTGGATCCTAATATCAGACTTTCTGAAGCTCGAATTACAAATTTAAAAGAATTTTAACTGCAAGACTATTAAATGAAATTGCAATATATTTAGAACGCGAAATTTAAGAGATAAATAATCCAAAGTAATCTTTACAATCTCAATCAATCAAGAATATTTATCTTGAACGTTTGACCTATTTATTTTAAATATAACCCATCAATACTGACAAAATTTTGACATTTAAAAAACAAAAATAGATTTTAAATTAATAATTAAAATCAAAACTTTTTAAAAAATAAAAGACAAAAAAAAATAAAGAGAATCTATTTTACTCAGAATTTTAATTTCTAATTTAAAAAAAATTTTACCTCTGAAAAATTATTTTACAAAATTCTATAATTAGAGACTAAAGTTTAGAGTTCAATGTAACTTTTACACACTGAATATTCATTTATTTATTAAACTGAAGGGTATTTTGAAATCCAAACCGCAGAAGCAATAATTTGACACTTTATTTGAAAAGTTCTGAAATAGCAATACGTGGGTAAGCACATCAGTAAATATAAATAACCTAGTATAGTAAAGTATTTGAAGAGGAAAAAAGTAGCATGAATAAAATGAAGGAAATAGTAGAGATGTATCTGAGCTGGAGGCTATTTCAGTCACGGGGCAAGAAATGTCGAGTGGACCGAGATGTAGGACAAGAGAGAGAGAGAGAGAAGTAGAGGGCGTAAGACACTATCGCACACACGTGTCGGAAATAGGTGGAGGGGTTGCAAACCGAAGCAAATTACCTGGCCTCATCCCTTCGTCCACTTTGGATTATCCCGGCAGCAACGGCGTACACACCGACGTATACAACACACTGCACATACACCAGAACCAGAAACAAGAGAGAGTCATGGTATCGTACGTGCAATTTCGCGAGTCGAAGCAAACAAATATCGGTTACAATAGTATATTACTATGGGCGGGTAACCGCGATATGTTTTACCTCAATTGCTTACGTGTGCTCACGCGGTATAAACTCGATCTGCACGAGCAAATCCCTCTTTTATTCTTGACATATAATATGCTTACCCACTCTCATAATCAAGAATGCGAGGATGCAATAATCGTTACCCAATTTACATACATATGTGTCTTTAAAGGAATTAATAACGTTGCTATTCCCTCATTATTACGGCTTTACAGTACTAATTGCTTGACAAATTGATGTTGTCAAGTATTACGAGTTATTTTTATTGAACAAATAAACTGTAATGATCAACAATTGATTAAGTAATTAAGGTAGTACATACAGACAGCGCAATACTATACGCATAATCGCCTCATAAAATTTGGGAATTTCTTAAAAATTAATTTTACAAAAAATGAATAACTCTTTTTCTTTAGTATGGACAGCAATTGGTCTTAAGCTATTAGACCGATTAAACAGTAGCGACTACCTCCGAGTAAATGACGCTACAAACAAAACAAAGTAGTCTTAACGGTTATAACCCGACATTTATCAACGTCTGAGCATTAAGCGCCAGGTATTAGTTAGTGTGTAGTAACTGAGCAAATCTTTGACATCAATCTGATAGCAATGTACTGATGGGTACCATAGGCTAATCATTTTCATCGTCATAGGTAATCAAGATTGTAGATAGCCTTGCACAATACAGATGTGGGCGTAGTTGCTAGTTGATTAATTTCATTTTCAATTACGCTTTCGTGTTGCTAGATAAACAGACTGTTTATTCAACTCTGCTCGTAAAAAATTCATGTAGAATTAAGTAGCAACATGCAAGGCAGTGACATTTATAAAACTTCAGTGAATATTTCATCAAAGAAAACCTATAATACTAAAATATTATTTCTTAAGAATTTAATCTAACCTAGTTCTTGAATAGTAAGAAATATTTGAGATATTTACTCAATACTGCACGGAAAAAAGTAAACTGTAATATTCACTCGGATTCCGGTTAGTTTTTATAGTTTCAAACAGTAAAGCGGACATCGGGGTGGCAAAAATGTAAATATTACACAACTTAATGTAGAAAGTATAAAAGCCACAATTTATAATTTAATATCCAAAATAAGTGATTAGTAGCTGTCACTATAGTAAATAACGACTCTTTCATCTTTAAAAATTACAGTTTCAAACAGTAAAAATTGCCATTTCAATATATAGTCCATATTATGAAGAGAAGGGGAACTCAGATAAAAGAGAACGGGGTCTCACTCTGGGAGAATTTAACATTTCAAACAGTAAAAATTATACTTTTAAAATATACATTTTACCAGTCTAAGCAAGTCAATAATTACAGTTTGATTTTTAGCGTTGCGTTTAAAATTTACCATTTTACTTTGTAAATATTGACGTTGCTTGTATTAAAAATTTACTAACTTTATTTTATACTTTTTACATATCATAAGATCATTTTTTAGGTACGAAATGATAAATAATAAAGTCTGAATTCTTAATTATTATACTTTAACATTTTAGACATTTACATAGCGAATATTACTGTTTGAAATAGTATTTTCTTCCATGTAAAGAGTAAACTGTAACGTTTAAATTGTAAATATTACAATGTGAATAGTAAAATCACGATTTTACTGTTTGAAATGGTAATTTTTAGCAGTTGATCATTACTTATTATAAATCAACTGTTATTTATTACAGTTTACTTTTTTCCGTGTGTGATTAAAATTCTATAGGATAGCAGGAAGAAATTAAAAAAAGTTTGGAAAATTCAAAATTGCACGCCTCATAATCTCATTTTTCACAATAAAATTGATTAAAATAAAATATAAAAAGCAAAATAATAAAAAACAGAAAACTCTGCTATGGTTTAGTGGCGCCATAACTGTAAGGTGAGGAAAAAAAATACTATAATGAAATGTATAGATAGATATACAAAAAAATCCACAGTCATATATTAGTTTTTCATAAATAATAATTTAACGACAGTGAATTGAACGCTCATATTAATTAGGAAATTCCTTCATGTGTTACTTTAGATAATAAAAAAAAAATTATTCTGGTACGATAATTTTTTCGACCAATTTCCCTGCCACATACACCCATCCATACACGGACGTCTAGAAAAAATTATGTTAAATGTTATTATTTACTATGTTAAACAAAAAAATTGTTATTGAAATATATCTTATGTGCCTGACAAATTATTCGACTTGATACAAGTGTACTCATATTAACCTATAAGTGCGATATAAATAACAAAAAATCAATTTTAGTTTCGAGAAAACTGCTTTTTTTGAAATGTCGAGAGTAGAACACAACCTCAACGCTTCGCTTATGAGGCGTGCAAAAGATATTTAGCACAGCAATAACTATGATGCGAAAATTTATTAACTTCAGTTTTTTTTTTTAAATCTGTTTTTTTCTTGTAGAATTTGGAAAAGTAAATAATTCAAATTCAGATCATAGCTCTAAACTTTTTGTTTTCTTGAGGTTTAAAGTTTAGAATATATAGTAAGGTGGAAGCCTCCTCAGTTTGATGTGACGAACCACTTGAGAGCTTTGAACATACTCTTGGAATACTTCTGTGAATTTTGAGAAAGGTTTCTCTCTTGACTACCAAGCACTTGGTCAGTTTTCATATGCTTCTCTTTTGTTGAACTTCTACTGGCTGACCTAAAGTCAGTGGGTGCTTGCACAGTAAATATACGCGCACAGTTTATCGTTGAGTTGCATCGTCCAGCCACAAGTGAAGTGTAGTATATTTATGTTCAAGTGATATCTGCTTTATACACATGCCAAATACTGCATAGCTATTGTAAAAGTAAAGAAAGTTTGGCAAATTGCTACGCCGGATAACGAGTTTTGAGAATACTCGCAATCAGCTGAAAAGTTTTCATCGAATGTGAGACTAGACCGAAGAGATAATAAAATAAGTGAGAGAAAGATCCTGCGAAATCGGACGATCAACTTTTCAGTTCTTTACCAAGAATGGATCAAAAGAAAATCTACAAACTTTTTTTTTGGTTTTTTATCAAACTGATTGTGAATTACTGACACTGCAAAAATTTTTCTCTATGTATTTGTTTGTTCACTTTCGATGTTACTAATAGAACTAAAACTTTATAAAATCTAAAGAAAACATTAAAACTTGCTACAAAGACTTTCTTTAAGAAATTGACTATCACCAAAAATTATATAAAATCATGAAAATTTTTAAAGATAAAAATATGCCCGTCAGAAAATTTTCTTTGTTCTTTTAATTATGTAATTGATTTTTTTTAGACACACATGTCCAAATGGATCCGTGATCACAGGACTCATCACCGTTACAGTGAAACTCATGCTGATCCTCACAATTCACACCGCGGCTTCTTCTTCTCTCACGTAGGCTGGCTCATGATGCGCAGACACCCCGCAGTGAAGAAGTATGGAAGCAAAATAGACATGAGTGACATAAAAAATGACCCAGTAATTCAATTTTTCGACAAGTACGTAGTTTTGAAAGCGTAAAGCCCAAAATTAGTTGATGAATAGTCTTGTTTGATTAATAAATAATATATTAACATAATACCCGCTTTTTTGCAAAGATATTACACTCCAATTATGCTCTTCTCTGCCTTCGTACTGCCAACAATAATACCTGTTTATTGTTGGAATGAAAGCTGGTCTATAAGCTTCAGAGCAGTAATTATTCGCTATGTTTGGTTGTTGAATGCAACCTTCGCCGTCAACAGCTTCGCTCACATGTTTGGCAACCGTCCGTACAACAAGTAAGTACCTAAGCTAGTTTTGAAGCTGACCCTTGATACCTAAATGAAGCTTCACCGATTCACGGCGATCCTTGTTGCTGATAGCTTTCAAACTCTCTATATCTAATCAATAACTTTCAAGAGTAAAACTATCAAACTTTTGCTATTAAATACTGGATACTGCAGCATTAAATTCAATATTAGAGATACTCTCGTTCAAATTTACGCCTTCTCTTTTTAACTATCATTTCAAATAATTATTTCAGAACAGCAAAGCCCACGGAGAACTCTACAGTGGCATTTTTCACTCTCGGCGAGGGTTGGCATTCATACCATGTGAGCGTTTTTTTTTCTTTCTTAATTACGATTTTTTACTATAAAACATTTTTATTTTAACCTTAAATTTTATTTTCTAACTTGAAAATGTTAATTTAAAATTTCTTCTTTCATCTAATTAAAATTAAACTAGACACTATTGTCAGTCATTTACAGTCTATTTTCTTTTGAAATTGATATTCTTTGGTTCACAATGACTATGATTATTAAATTATTGCAATAAAATGTGATAATGATTTTTAAATTTAAAAAATTACTTGCAGCATACGTTTCCGTGGGACTACAAGGCGGCGGAATTGGGCGCTTACGGTCTCAATGCAACAACAGGATTTATTGATATTATGTCGTGGTTTGGTCTTGCTTATGATCTTAAGAAAGTAAACAAGGAATTGGTCGAGCGAATAAGTCGCAGTAAGGGTGATGGAACTGACAGTTATTGGGGCAACAAGCACACTCACCACTGATTCGTTTCATCAAAGAATCATCAGATTACTATTAATTTGACTATTCAAAATTTCTATCAAAATACATAGCACTACTTCTCAAATACAGTAATCATTTAAATTGTTCGGTAACAAGTGCTTTAATAGTATTAGAAACAGTTGTTCACAACAGTTTATTGAAGATTATTTATCATATTATTAATTACACTATTAAATAGAATTATGTATATAATTATAATTTTGATAAAGTCGGTAAATTTGGAATTATAATTTAATATATAAATTTAATTTAAGCATATTTCGTTAGAATATTTTCACAAAGTGCTTTGCATAATATTGAAGAAGGATAAAAAAAAGTAAATGGTTAATATAATATAAATATATGGTAAAAGTAAATGGTTAATATAATATAATATAAAAAAAGTAAATGGTTAATATAAGTTTTAACATAGATTGAATGAAGATGGAATTTAATTTATCGCGGTGGTTATAATATTTTGTCAAAATCTGAAATTACAATATACGGCATTTTTTTTGTTAACAACCAAACATAAAGATATAAAAGTATTTCTTAATGAATGTGTTGTAAAAATACCTTGTGATAAAAAAGGCTATATAAATATTTTTTAACAAAGTTGTCAATTTAAATGTTGTGTAAACGTGCAAAAATAGTCAGCCGAAAAAAAAATGTTTGATAAATTTATGCGGCAGTTAACTCACATAATAATAACCATAAAAAAATAATAATAAATATAACGCGAAAGAATAAAGTGAATAAACAGTTAAGTAATTCATATGATGCAATAGAGCGGTATAATATATATGTTTTTTAAAAATAGTACATTTTACAGTTGGTGAATACATTCAAATCAATAGTTGCAAGATTCCGTTTCACGGTTACTTTAACAAGTTTCTTGGCGAAACCTCGTGAAATCCCTCAAATTCAATATGCCGGTCAACCGTATGGAAATTAAACTCCGAAAGTTTTCCAGTTTCAGTCCAAATAATTATTACTTTTATATTTTTTTTTATAAATATTATTTTTACTTGATTTTTTTATCGAATAAATAAAATATTTTTTAAGTTTTAGATGATTTTATGAAAATGTATTTTTTTTAAATATATTATAGGAAGTATGTTTATGATTATATATTGTATGATTATTATTACATAAAATAAAATTTTCCCCAAGAAAAAAAATGTTATTTTTATTCTACAACCCTCTGTAATAAACTTGGTAACCATCAAATTGATTGGACTTAATAAATCCTTATTACTTCCACTTGAAAGTATTCGCTCAAAGGAGAAAAATTATGCTTTGTCGATTTTCAATAATTCAATCCCTAAGCTCTCGAATTTTGTAAAGCTAAAAAATACCACTATAATACGCCTCATTTGATACACATTTTATCGTAACTCATTTACATCAAGTCCGTAACTTTAGATCGAATACTAAAAAATAATCCACCTCTATGTATATTGAAGTATAAAAGCGCCCTATTTTTCAGAAAATTGAAATAAATTAATTTAAAAAATAAAATCCTATTTTCTGCTTCTAAATCCAACAATAATAATGACAAGAAAAGAAAAAAATATAAAACTATAATAATATGGAAAAAAAACCGTGAACATTTTGATAAAGTGAAAAAATCCTGAAAATGAATTGGGAAACTGCAGGTAGTTGATAAGATAGCGATAAAACTCGAGTGACTTTCTTCATCACATCACACCCTTTCTTTAACTTGGGGTACTTTTTATATTTTTATATTCTCCCCCGGCTCGTTTGCCACGTCACGAAGCTCTCCGACGCAGAGAATAAAGGAGTAAAAAAAGGAAGAACGTCACAAAGTAATGTGTATAAGAGGGTGAGGAGATCTCGAGGTTCATGGCAAGCATCAGCCAAGTAAGGAATCCCATTTGGAGTGGCTCGGGAGAGTTTTGGCGAGGCAATGGCGAACGGGTCATAACTGATCCCTCGTAAAAGAAAATAAAATTAAAAAAATAAAAAATAACGGAAGCAGGGTGACTGCACAAACCGAGGGTACGGGAAATGACGTCATGAATTTAAAGTCCTGGATAAACCGTTCTATAATCCGTAATTTTGGGAAAAAAATTTAACAAGTTATACGCTCGCTGGTTATAAACGGTTATGTTATCCTTGAAAAAAAAAAAAAAAAATAGTAGAAGAAGAAAACGCGTATATACCGTTTTCTCTTTGTCTTTATACTGCGTATAGCCTCTTCTAAGCTTTTTATTACGAAAATCTCTTGAAGAAAACGATTTTATATGCAAAATTTAGCATTTCTTTTTTTAATTTTCATCCGGCTATGAAACACCTATGAAATTTTAATTCAAAAAAAAAAAGAAAGAAGAATATAAGGAATAAATAATAATAACAACATAATCTTATGAAAATTTAGTATTCTTTTGTTCCTTTATGCCAAGAAAAGTTAACAAATGAATATGCGGTTCTACCAACACATTTAGCTCCCCTCTTTTTAAGCGTATGACCTACACTAGGTACACACAGAAAAGGAGCAAGAGGACGAGGAGAGTACGTAATTAAAACGACGTAGTGAGAAATGCCGACAATGAATCACAGCCTCGAGACATTTATACCCCACGAGTATAAATGATGTAGTAAAAAGAAAAAAGAAAATGACTTCAAGAAGTCTTCTGAGACAGGAGGTTCCAAAAAAGGAAGTCAAAGATATGGCTTGGCACAATGGGCAAAAGAAAATAAAATAAAAGCTACGCTAAGCAGAAAAAAGTGTACCATGCACCGGTATACCGTTCTCATTACGATCGCACGGAATTTATAAGAACGCGATCTTTGAATTCCTTTAGAGTTTTAAAAAACTTCTTTTAAACTTTTCGCTATCGTTTGCCGCGAGTCTCGTGAATCGCGTGGCTCCCTCATTAAAAGGACTTCACCTCAAAGAAATGCGATACTGCGATTGAAAAGCAATCAACGCCACGAACCTGTTCTTCATTGAAAACTTTGAACAAACTCGCATAAAAAAGGAATAAATAATTTCAACTGCACAGGTAAAGTTGATTTTTGCAATAACACCCAAACTAGGGAACAAAGTTCTTCAAAGAATTTCAGTAATTAATTTACAGGTGATGGAAAACTTAATTATAAAAATTTTATTACTTTTTAGTGTAAAGAAGTTTTGTATTTTGTTTTTTTTTTTTTTTTTTACTAATAATTGAATTGAAGATAAACAATTTTTTGTAAAAGTACACTCTTTTTGTTAGTAGAAAAAAAAAACAATAAAAGTTATTATATATCTATTTCATTGCCCACTAGTTTGTCTCCTTTAGGTTTATTTCCGATTCATTTCACTCCCTTGAGGCAAGTTTAAAAAGAATAAGAGCTATAAATTTAATTCCACGCAATCGCCCTGGCGGCACTGCCAATCTTTCGTGAAAATCCTCCACAAGATCCACGGTCCAATCAGTGGTGCAGCAAGCTCAGCAGAAAAAACATTCTCAGTGAAAAAAACAGAGCTCGATACTATCAACCGTATAATAAATAAGAAGAAAAGAAAATAACACAAACAGCAAAGTTGCGGAAGAAAACAACATTCTCAAAAATAAAGGGAAAAAAATATCTAAATTGAGATGGTGTAATACGAATAAGTATGTCGGGTGTACTGCATCTTCAGTATTTCTCCATTGTCAACTAATACACTGCGAAGAGTATCTATGGAGTACGTTGTATAGTTTTCCTAACAAAAGAGGCCGATATTCTTTTTTTCGGTTCGAATGCAACCTCTTCCTATTGTGTACATTTCAAGAAAGATTCAATTCTCAACACCGTATAGAAATTCCACGGGGAAAATGAAAAAAAAAATATATATTATCCAATGTAGTTTGTAGCATACCACTACAACCTCTGTTTTTTTCCTAAGTGTCTTGAATTCAAGCTAAAGAATTTCTCAACGAGACGAGATGTCGTTTGTAAGTAACGAGTTTTTGTTGTTTTATTTTCTCTGCTCAATTTTTGATAGTATTTTACAAACCGTGAAACAATTTATCAGTCTTAAATAACATCGAGTCTATCAATTTCAGCTAAACAACTCAACCGTGTTTATTATTTTATGACAAGGTACATCGCAAATAAAAGTTATCATGTAATAAAAAATGTTTTTTGATCACTGAACAGGATATTGCCTTTAAAAAAAAAAATTTATAGCTAACTCAACCAAGAGCCAGAAAATTCTGTAATGACACAGTTTTTTTAGAAAAGCATCCTTATCTTCTAATCGCAATGTAGTTTTTTTTTATCTATGAAAAAACAAACATAGTAATCTACAGAGATACAATAAAATGATATAAAATCGAACATAACAGAACCCTGGTTATCTTAAACCAATTTATTTTCCAATAATTACTGTTTACTACTAACGATTTTAACAATCTTATTTATGAAGCAGGCATCCATTATTCTCCATGCACTGGTAAGCAAGATTAATCTTTTTAAGCAGCGACACTTAAAAGGCTTTAATGCAATTAAACAGAGCTCACTTTGTTTTAATATACTAAAAAAGTAGATCCGTTAGTCAAAAGCCATATCACAAAATAAGCAGCTAAAATAAAAATGAAAAGTATAAATGGGCAGTGAGCAGGCCAACATGAAGCTAAATCTCTTTTAAATCGCATCGTTCAAAAAGGCGTTTGGTGTTGGACCAAATGCCACGATAACACTTGAAACCGCAGAAGCCCCATCGTAAATGGAATCAGGAAAAAGGGGCCAGTGGGAAGCGAAAGTTGCGGGTGCGAAACACCCTCACATCGATCCACTTTGAAAAATACATAACCGATATACCTCGACATATATACATATACATATGTATGAACGTACTCAATATTTATTTATACACGTATACATGAAGAGAAATGTCGGTTTAACGCGTTTTCACACAGTCGTTACACAGAACCCGACACATTTGGCAAGTCTCCAGCCTCAATTGAATGCTTGGTTTAAATGTCGCGGTAGTTTTAACGTTTTACTA